TTGACCACCTGGGGTTCTTTAACTTGCACCCAAATCTGAGCACACGGGCCTACAACATTTCCACCTCCATCGGAAATGCAGCCGCCGCAGCCGGGACTCGATCCCGCGACCTGCGGGTTAGCTGAGTACCTTAGCCACTAGACCGCTACATCTGGGTAGACACTTTTATGATCAAATTAACGGTGTCTTCTGATAAATGCAGCCGCCGCAGCGGGGATTTGAACCCACGACCTGCAAGTCAGCAGCCGAGTACCTTAGCCACTAGACCACCGCGGCTTGGCTCAATTTTTAAAATTGTCATATTTGGTTTCTGCAAGTATTGTTATATCTCTCTGCAAATTTCACGCACCAGGAAGTAGTAATTTTTATGTAATGTCATTCTAACTGTCCAGATTCTTGGTGCTGTTAACATGCAGAACCTGCAAAAAAATGGGGAACCGACTTTGAGGCTTCTTTATAATTTGCCAGCACCTGTCTCGAAAACGCTATTACCAATTTATGGGTGCCTTTATGAGGATTGCATAACATGCGCACCACGATTGTCGCTTTTTGATGAAACTGTGTTTTTTCAGTTTTTTCCATTTTTCTCAAAAAAGTAAATTTGCGATTATTCAATTTTGAGGCCTCAATATCTCTGCAGCTAGGGCAGGTACAACAACAATTCTCTTTGCAGTAGAAACCTGTATGTGTGTAGAATGCAAGTATGGGAGCAGAATTTAGAGTACACGCCTTTTTTAATTAATTACTAATCAGAATTGTAATACAATTACAACTGGTTTTGAAAATCGATAGTTCATTTTGCTGTAAAATAACCAATAAAGGCCTAAAAACAAAAAAACTCTTCCATACTTTCACTCTATAGTCATTAGTCTATGTTGACATATCCTAAATATCACTTTTAATTAAGCATTTGTTTTCCTATGGTGGCCTTAAACAATAGGGGTTGAACCTATCTCAGGAACAAGGTGAGTTACAGGAAAACTGATTAAATATTTGAAATCAGCAGAAAAAACTGCATAACTCTGTGCAGTTTGATCAAGACCACTGAATAAATAAACAAAAAAATGTCTAAGACCAGTCTGCCCCCTTAAGCAAAGCACACAAAATGAACGAAATATGACTTTATTTCAAAAGCACCAACTGTCGCTGACTGAACATAAAGATTATGAAGTATACAACACTACTATAGTTGATTAGAATGAAAAATGTTGCTAATATTGCTGACTCGGAAAAAGGAGGTGATAATTTGCTCGGCCTTGTTCAAGCACTTTCTCACATGGAAGGAGTGCATTGCTGAAAGGCTGGGCAGGAACTCTGTGCCACCATTGTGTTTAAAGTAGAGCTGCAACAGGATGACAGCATATGTTGCTGCACTGTCAGCCACTGAAATGAGCTCGAGATCACACACCATCTCATCGCCACTTGAGCACAGGTCCTCATCTTGAACATCAGCTATAGGTTCCTCAAGGCTGTCCTCAAGTTCACGACAAGACGTCGATTGCTGCTCAGCGTGCGCGGACATGTGCAATCGCTGGATTGGCTTGGCTAAGCTAGGCTAAATTTGGCATTTGTTTCATGCTTGCTAGACTGCCGTGGCCACCTCCACCGTTCTTCGATTTTACCCGTTTTAGTTCCATTTAACTGATGTAAGTGAAAAAAAGATGTTCCGATTACCCGAAACTTTTTATCATTAAATATATAGAAGACCAACCAAATGTGCCGGGATAGTTTCGTTTATGCGGCTTTTCAGTTTAACCAAGTTTCGTTTAATGAGAGTCCACTGTATTTTGTATTTGAAAAACTACCCCTTATACAAAAAAAAAAACTGCATATTTCAAGTCAGCCCAGAAATATATGTAAACTCACCAAGTTTCACCAAGATCAATCAAGAAGTAAAGAACTATTTTCAAGAGCCCTTTAAATCAAGCCCATTATCAATCATAGGACAATGACAATTTGTGCTTCATTACGATGAAGCGCTGCCTGAAGGTGATGCGGAAGGACATTGGTAGGTAAAGTTTCATTACATGGAAATGAAGTTCGCAGAGTTTCCTCTTTCATCAGAATCAGAAATAAGCAACATTTAAAAAAATAATAATAATAACGCTGGCTCAGTATGTATTGTATGCAAGTTAAGGCACTTCACTGTCCTTTTGACAATTTTTTTTTACTTTAAAACCAGTTGATTGTGGGTGCATGGTACAATTAAGGCAAATACTTTCAACTGAGTCACCAAAGCATTTGGTAGTTCCTCCTGCCTCTTGCTTAATTCGACCCACTGGACAACAAATTTCGTTAACCCTTTCAAGGTTGAATTAATAGAAAAGTAAATTGTAGCTACATGTATAGCAAGCACATTCTTTTATTTTGTACAAGTATTCCATGCACTTTTTTTCATTCCATACATGCTTTGAGTATAGGCTTGTGCAAATATTCAAATGCTTAGAATATTCACACAAATATTACATGATTCAAATTTGCTTAGATATGAATTTAAATTATGAAAAATTTCATCGAAATAAATAGAGGTACATATATTAATCCGCATGTGTATCCCTGTGAAGGTGATTTCCCAGCAGTGAAGTGATTCTAAGCTGTGAAAATACTTATTCAGAGAAAATACGCACTCCCACAAAGCATCACTTTAAGAATAAATTAATATATTACGGTCATATAGAATTATTCCTTTGAGTTTAAAAGCTTCTTATGCTAGCTTATAAGCTTAAAGAATAGTAAACTTTAAGACAACATATTTTACAGGTTATCACTAGCATTCTACCGAAAATGAAATCCTGCTGCTCATCTAAATTGTTTCCATTTCCTTTGAAGCAAGAAAGTTGGCATTTGCACAGGCCTCCTTTCAAATAAAAAAAAATATATATGTATACTTCTGGTTAGCTAGGCCATAACAAACATGCCCATCATTTTTCCCATCAAATATTGGATATATATACTAAGTTCAGTGAAGAGAATGCCTTTCAGCGTTTTGGAGCAGCGATTGGAGCAGGCAAAATCTGTTTTCGGAGCAGACACCTCTGTGTTTGGAGCATGCAGGGCTTTCCATGACACACACAAAGGGAAAAAACTTAGCTTTAATTTACTTTAATGAAGCTTAGTGATAGAGCATCGGACACATTATTTGAAGGTCGCAGGTTCGAATCCTGCCGGTGGCCAGTTATCTTTTGATCCACTTTTCTTTCTTCACATATGCATTACAATAACTTCTAATAACCCTCTGTGCTTTCCCTGGCATTATTATCTGTTAGTTCTCATTATTATGTCTAATAAGGAAAACGAGCCCTTAAATTTACACTTTCCCTCACTCAGTTTATGTAACAATTTATACAGAAGCAGCAAGCACACAAAATAAGCACCAAAAACAAACACAAGTAGGAATTTGTAAAGATGTAGTGACATAATATAGTGAAGGATACTGCACCAAGCCAGCTGCAGCATGAAGTTCACGGCAACGCACACACACACATGCATGAGAGCGTGCATGAACATACAGACACATTCAAAGTTCGTTACAGTAAAACCTCGTTGATAAGTAGAACATACATGCCAAGAACCAGCCAGAGACGGGGCTAACTGTGCACTCAACGTCGTATGCCTTATAACCACCAAGTACATAAGCGTGCGCAGAGTACGCCATCAGGAGGAGGAGGGGGGGGGGGGGGGGGGGGGGGGGCAAAGGTTCGTCAAAGCACTCCCTGCCTATCATGTCAATGCATGGGGCTGACTGCCCCACTCTCAAATATGTCAATGTGTGTGGCTGTGGGGCTAGCTTTGCCCCCCCCCCCCCCCCCCTGTTGCACATGCCTATGATGTGCGCCAATACCACTAAATTAAGAATAAAGAGTGCCACAGGAACTATTTCCTAGTATGCACACCACGAAGCCATTTCTTTTTTTTCGCCAATCTTCAGAAATGATTGGTACTCCCGCACGACTTTTTGACGGCACGCTGTGTCAACACTAAAGAGCATTTCGAAACTACTGCGGGGTCCGAGATACTCACCTAACAAAGCAACTGGCATAGCGACAAAACGAACATAATCGGCTGTCTGCAATAAATATGTACCACAATCTGCAACTTAGCAAAAACTGACTTTTTTTCAGACGGGGTACGGTCGCAGGGAGCCGCTCGTCTACTGGCTAGTTGGCTGCAGTGATTTGTCTACTTGACGTGCACACCGTGCTGAGCCGCTTGCGCCCACTTCGCTCAGACCATGCACAGATGTGGCAAGAAGCCTGTGGCGTTAACACGACGGGGGCGCGTTTGGGGTGCCACCTCATGAAAGCATGTGCTACGCTTCCTGTCTCGGTGCCCGTGATCTCCAATGCTCATCTCCACAAGAACGAGCTGCTTTCGTTCCTTCAAAGCCGTACACGCTGAAGACGGTCCGGCACAACGATTGAGGTGGCAAGCGATAGGCGCTTCAGCGCTCTCATGTAGTCACCGGCTATCAAGTGTGCAGTAGCTGCTTAAAGAGGCGCTACGACGCCACACACGTGGGCTTTTCGTTGGCGATGTCACAGTGGCGCCGCACCTTTCTGTAGTCACCATATCACCTTTGTTCTTTGCAAATGGTTATCAAAAATGGACAGTCACAATTGCACGATAGTCTGAATAATTGATCAGCCGATTTCATGTTTTTGTAGCAGTGTAACTGTTCACAAATGCAGCAGTGCATGTGTACAAGATGGCGACCATCACGTAATATCTGCTCACAATGCGTGCAGTCAACATTACTTTTGGTTCCAAAACCACCTTGTGGGGCACAAATGGCACAAATTAGACAAAAAAGGCCCTTTTGGAGCAGTACGACGCAATTATTTCCAATTGACACAGGTTGGTGCAGGCTTCCCACCACTGTGGAGTTCAACTGTGAATTATTCGACCAAAATTACTATTTGCTTGGAACTTAAAATTCACTATTCACACAAGCTTATATGTCTATGTACTGTTCATTTCCAGGCCTGAAACTGCTCACTTACATGACCACCAGCTCTTGTTGATGACCTCATGGTGGATCCAATAATGTTGTAGACTTCAAGCTGAAAAAAAAAGGTAAAGGTAACCGCTTCAAGCACAAAAATATGTTAAGAAACATCCCCATACATGCAATAAGAGCAGCACAATAAATTTACGCACAATGAAAGTCCTGCAAGAATAATATTGACTGGATGTCATTGGGACCGCAGGTCAATTTCAAACTGAGTGGTTTGACCAATTGAACAATGCACAACACAAAAAAACACTGCATCCAGGCAAAAAATTTCATTGCAAGAGCACACTATCTTTATTTAACAAATTGAATAACAGAAAGTGATCAGAGGTGCTGGTTCTCTGCGTGTTTGGTTGTTCGCAGCTCTAATAGTCACGTATTCCAACCAGCCATGTAGTACTGTATATAATATTGATCCCACATACATACTGGTCACCCCTCTGAATTTTTTCTAACTTTTTCCCACAACAATGATTGCACCCTGAAATGGCCAATGCAGCAAGCAGTGAGTGTAGTCACACTACCAAATGTTTTCCATATTGTGAGATGGTTGTGCCTCGTCTTTCATCTAGCTCTGTGCAGTTTCCATAAAAAGTGAGATGGAACTTACATGTCAGCAATTAAAGATTACTGATAATGCAATTGACTACAGCAGCTGCACAGCTGGCAGGCATGAACAGGACCCTGTCCAGCATCATTTCTCCAACAGTAAAATTCCAAATAATATAGTGCAACACTCTGCCAATTATTTTAAAGTCCGCTAGAGATTGTTTCCTCTTCTTTCTGCAATTGATGCGATATACCCAAATTTACACCACTGGCTGGTTTCAGGATCTTGAGCTGCATAGTTGCTGTGGCTACTACGGGAAGCGACTACACTGAAACCTCGTTATAACGAAGTTGAAGGGGAGCCACAACTATTTTGTTATATCCATTATTTCGTTATATTGATTATAACAGTTTGTGGCAATGTATGCTCAGATGGGCGCATACCTATAAGCACGCAAAGAAGGAAACGGCCTTGCGGCCCAATGTACTGCTACGCGAACACGCGTGCCACGGAAAATAAACTCGGTTCAATCTCATAAATTCGAACTTTCAGGTGATTCAAACTCACGCTGAGGTCCCGTCAAAGCTATGTATATTCCAATGAGCGAAAACGCCCTGTAGTTCGAACGCGCAAGCACTTGCGACGGTTAATTCGCACATACCGCGCTGCGAAAATGGTCTCAGCACCATGCCCAATCCCGCAGTGGCACCTCTCAACGCTGCGCGCGAAGAAGGAAAAGAAGAAAAGGAAAGAAAAGACTGTGGCGTATTGTTTGCTCTCTCTCAAATGCCGATCTGCGACGCGCCTGTTCCACGCTTCTCCCTTTTCCGTCTTTGCACGTAGAGACCCTTCTTTCAAGCCCGTGCGCGGAGAGAGAGGAAAAAAAAAAGCTGCTGCGGAGAGTCCTCCGTTCTCGGTGCAGAGGGTAGCAGCCATGGTAGCAGTGGAGACGCAGTTGTTGCCATCATGAGAGGGAAATCACTTTGCACCGCGGTGCCCCATCTAAGTGATGTGACCCGCTGAGCGCTTCGTCAATCTTCTCCGCTGGCTGTGTGAGGAGGACGGCTCTCTCAGCCGCGCGGGGCGTGACTAAGGTCGGCGTGGGAGCTTCGAAAGAGCCACGCCGAACGAGCGTCAAACTACGCAGAAAACGATATACCAAACACAGTACAGTCGTTTTTTTTTTTTTTTGATAGACTATTTGATAGACTCATTTAGTTCGATATACCCATTTACCTGTCAATTTTACTTCGTTACAACGAGGCTTAAAATGCATGGCTTTCAATGAAGTTTTCAAGAGAAATTTCATTTACTTTGTTATACCCATTATTTCGATATATCCCATTACGTTATAACAAGGTTTGAGTGTATATGCCCATACACGCGCTCGCGATCACACTGAAAGTAGGCTGGGTGTTTGAAGAAAAAAAAGTGCTCAAGGTCATGAAATGTGCATAACGTGTACCATCCCTACCTGCTTAGCTTCCAGTACACCGGTCGGGATGAGAGAATAAAGAAAGCAATCCCAGCTTGCGATAAATCTTTATCTCTGCTCGTACTTGACCGATTCTAAACATTTTCTCGGCAGTCGATTTGTTAGGCAATGGATTTCATTAATGAAGCCATTCGATAGTTACTTGGAAAGGTGTTTCAGTCTAAGCAGAAGCAAGGATCAGCTTTTACGTAGAATCTGAGACCCTAAAACTTACTGTGATCACTTGCGAGCTTTTCCAACACCGCAGCTTTTTTTTTTTTTTCAGAACTAAATTTAATGTATTGTGCTCACAAAAAAGGCTTGTGGTTAAGGTGAAAAGATTACATTAACTTCTCTGTGCATAATAAATGTGTGAATTTGATTCCCACTTAAACAAAAATTGCAAGATTCACTAACACAAGCCTCAACTGCACGGGCAGCAAGTGCCAGGTGCCCATCGTCCTCCCAGACTGCCTTGGCATTGCCCGAAGCGGGCTGGCTGATCCCTCCAGATGAGGACACGCCTAGAACGCACACCGCCTGCGTCACAGCCACTGCCATGTGTCCACATCCCAGGGCCAGCCGCACGAGCCGCTGCAGCCGCACTTCACCTAGTGGCTCCAACACAGGAAGGTTCAGGCACTTGCGCACTAGTGCTATTTCTGCACAGAGTGTTTTCCTGAAAACAAGGGTGTAAAATATATGTCACCCACAAAAATGTCGCTCACCCTACTTTCGCATGAATTAGCAACTTGTAGAACAGCAAGCCTAAATCGGTGGTAGTCCACAGAGATGAGGATTGTGTGCAAAACGTTTCAGGAAAAAAATGAGATAGGACATAGTGAACACACAAGTAGCTACCCTGTTGAGGATAAAAGCAGTTAAAAGTATATTCCTAGCCACAGTACAACAGTACCAGTGGAAATTTTTGATGCAGCCTCTTGCTATCTCACCTTCAGAAATGCTTCTCCAAAGTGCAGAAAGAGAAGGCCAGCAGCCAGACGGCAGCTATCAATCATGCTTGCCTTCATATGAAAGAATGTCGCTTAGGAAGGCAAGGAACTTTTTATCGACTAATGAGAGGGGTCTGCGACTATTCCAAATTTCAAATAATTTTCAAATATTGTTTGCCGTTTCTTTTTACAAGAATTTTACAGTTCCGAGCATTCGAACTTCCCGAAAACAAATACAGTCAAAATCCAATTGGCAGAGGACCCTTCAAATTTTATATGCTTTTCCCCATCACACTCTCAAATTGCAGCAAAGCTGCCTCTCAGACTACTACCATTGCAATGTATTGACTCGAGAAAACACTGGTTTCAACAAGGAGATGGTGAACACTACAGAATAGGGGTTCAGTTGACGCTTTCATTACTGTGCAAAAATTGCGATTTTTCATATGTCATAGAAAGATAGCTTTTGCCAGTTCCAATGTACTCCAGCACGCATTGCAGCACACCAAGTGTAGCAGAATGAAATGCCCTTTCCAAAAAATATATGTTGTACAGCAACAAAAATATATTGAAATGAATAAAGATGTGAAGAGTAATTTCGGTAGCCAGCTAGTATACAGTGCAATTAAAGAACTACAGTCGAGCCCACATATAACGGCCCCACTTAAAACGAACTTTCACTTGAAACGAACGATATCCGCGTGACCGTGTAAATATACATTGGTTCAATGGCACAAAATCCCACTACAATGAACGTCTCTGAGCGCCACTGATCGGTTACAGCGAACCGAGTCAGCAGTCCGCCGACTTCCCAGGAAACCACTTTCGACCACTGATCAGGCATCCGCGAAGTGCCCATACATTCTTATTGTTAAACGCCGACCCTGTCTCCGCAACCCTCTAGTTGCCTCTCTCCCCAACCCTAGGAGGAAGGACAGCTGTTTCCTTTCTCCATGCCCCGACTGCTTTTTGTTACGCACCCCTTCGTCCTTTGTCCCCCCGCCACTCTGAGCACCCCGCATCACCAGACGATGCCCGTGTTTTCACATTGCCCCCGATCTTTGGAAGACCGCTCGGCCATCTAACCTGTTTTTGATCGCTGGTACTGACGTTGGCATTGCCAGCCTGGAGTGACCAGACCATTTACCAACATCGTTGGCCACCGACTGTATCCGATAGTCTGCGTCTAGTGCACGCGCAAACTCTACCCCACCGACTCTGATCATTTGCGATTCGTTTCGTGTTTAGGACTTCTTCTCGCTCACTTCGCACTCGGCTCAACATGCCTTCCGCGTGCGTGTGGAAGCGCAAAAACAGCTGTTAATTTGGGCGGAACGAATCGCGAAATATCGAAGTTCGTGAAGCCCCGCAAACCAGCCGGCGCAACAAAACGATTTTTTGACCACGGCCGCCGATTCTTAGAACACCGCCGCGCGCACCGATCCAGGCAGCCATGCTTCGACTTCTGCGCACGTAGGCACTCTTTTCAAGTTTTTCTACGTGCGAGTTTTGCGGACCTTTCAAGCAAGCTACCCAACCTGCCTCCTTCCAGTGTGTTTTGGTTTTCAAGGTCACCCTCCCACTGCATTCTCCCCTCTCTTTATCGCAACTCCTTGCCCTTTTCTCGCAAGTCTGCTCTCCTCTCTCGATCCCAACCCCTTCGCCCGTCTCCACCGCTCCGTGACGCCCGCCACGCTGGCTCGAATTATAGTTTCGTTTTCTGACTGAAAACGGACCCAGAGCTGTTCCACGAGTTCTGGCACGTGTGTCGCGTGTGCGCGCTTTGCTCGCTCTTGGTGTGCGTATGTGGTCATGATGGCCGACGGGAGGACAAGCACGCTTTTTCCTGCCGCTCAACAGAACGATGAAAGTGTGACCGCTTGAGCGTAATCAGCACGTTAGGTGCGGCGTTGCGGAGCGCTTGCTCATAGCTGTTGACCACGTGGCAGCGAACTTGCCGCTTCGGGCGTCACGGTATTCAGCTGTGAAGATGGTGAATATTTCGTGGGCGGCGGTGATGGCTACATGCGCACGAAACTGTTTTCGTGAGGCCGACTTTGTTGACATCGGGCTCGATGCCTAGCCTGAAGCTTCCGAACTGCGGCAGCGATTTGTGGCAGCGAGTCGTCAACTCCGACCTGGGAGAGCGGATGGGACATCTGTTGCGATGGTTTAATTACGGCCGATAATAATGCCGACACTGCGGAACCGTGCAAGGATTGGGGCATTGTGAATGAAGTACGTGGCGAGAGCGATTTGGAGGAATCGTATTGCGAGAACGACGAAACGTTCGAGCTAGTGCCTCATGCAGCTGACGCCACGGGCCTCGGCGAACGAGCATCCTGCCGTTTTAAATGAACTCGAGACCGCCCTTATCGCTTCTGTTCTTTGAAACACGTGCATCACGGATTTTTGGGGGCAAAAAAAGTTTGTGTTTTCACTCGCAACTTTTTTAAACGCTGTGTCATTCACTACGAACTTCAGGATACAGTGAACGAATGCCACGTCACGCGCAGCCTTAGACAAGCAGGTAGAGCATGCAGTTTACAACTGCCATATATATCAGGCAGCTGACAAGTCTGCCAAACCTGCATTTTCTCCGTTGCAGCCAGTCCAGTGGCCTGATCGGCCTTGGCAGAAACTCGGCATGGACATCATCGGTCCTTTGCATAATGTCCCGCAAAATGCCCGGTTCATTGTTTCTCTCATCGACTACCATTCCAAATGGCCAGAGCTTTGTTTCACACATACGGATACTTCTGAGGTCATCATTGAGTTTCTGTCTTCAATCTTCACCCGGGAGGTTTTCCTGATGCCATAGTTACGGACAATGGTCCACAGTTTCAGTCCCAGCATTTCGAGGCTTTTCTTTCACAACGAGGAATTCAGCACTTGAGGTCATCAGTTTTCTATCCCCAATCAAATGGGCAAATCGAGCGCATTAATCGCGTTCTGAAGGAACATATCCAGATCGCCCAATTCGAGCACAGTCCCGTTAAGCAAGTCTTGACTGAATGTTTAGCTTCGTACAGGTTCACACCACAAGGCACCACTGGAGTGTCTCCTGCTCAACTTCTCCATGGTAGGCAACCGCGAGTTGCTCTCGACATCGTCTTTTTGCCTCGTAACATAGCAGTGTCTTCTCCTGATCAAATCCGTACCAGGTTTTTTTCTCATCAACAAGCAATGAAAAAGTATATCGACACCCGTCGAGATGCAAAGCAGTGCAAAGTTCGCACTGGCGATCTAGTCAAGGTTCGTGTGCCAGGCAAGTGCCCCAAGTATTGCGGTCCTTACAAAGTCTTGGGCCAGGTTAGCCCCACTTCTTTTCGCTTAAGTGATGGTAACATCTGGAATGCTTTGCGCCTTGTTATTTTTCATACGGATTCGCCTTCAACACCTAAAAGTTTTCCCCATCACGTTCTGTCCACGCCTTTCAACTATGCATCAGACTGTTACATGTGGCCTCCATGCACAGGCATTTCTTCTTCAAGGGGGAGGAGTTACCAGTCGGTGTCGCTGGTTCAAGTACACCAAGTCATACGGTTCACATCGAACCTTCAAATATGGCTGAGACCGTTGAACCGGACTCTGGTCCGCAAAATTCTCCCGAAGCTCATGCTGCGAGCTCTGATGAGACCGCGAATTTTAACGCTCGTTCAGAGCCTTCACAATCTTCTAATGCTCTTGATGTGTCACATCAGAGCACAAGTGACCAAGGTGCAGAGACACCCGATTCTACACCCAAAAGGGCCCGCCCTAAGCGGAAGCGGCAGAAGCCGCGTCGGTTCGAAGACTACGTGACGTAGAAATCTTGTTCATTACTGTTCGTGAACATTATTGTTCTGTGCAAAGGTCCAATGCATCCAAATCTATATTGTAACGAGTTGTATACAATTTTTTAGTGCATTTTCAGGACTTCCAATGTACATTTTTTCAATGCATTTTCAGGACTCAGTGTGTGAGTTCAGTGTGCCGTGCTGTGAATTTTCATATGTTCTAACGTACATACCTAGTATATACTTTGGTATCGATCAAGTATAAATATAAACAGTGTATAGGTGAACTTTTTCGAGGAGGGGATGATTGTTGTGTTCTGGGTTTTCGGTTTCGGTTTCGGAATGACATGTGAGGATGCCAGGGGGCGCCGCTCTGGCATCTAGGATTTCAAGGCGACTGAAAAATAAAAGCAGTGTGTGTTGGGTAACCATGGAGTGCGGTTGTTGTTCTTTTCTTCGGCGCTTCGCGCCAACCCGCGTGTTTCGGATGGTCGGCGTCCCCGCCGGTCGCGTACGTCTCCGTCGGCCGTCTTCTTCTGCTTCGTCGGGACCAGCCAGCCCCCAACACAGCGCATATTTCTTAGCATTTTGCACCTCATACTATAAAAAGAACGATATCGTGCACTGTTCTGAAAATGCTTAGCGCTGCTGCGTAGTCATGGCCAAGATGTGCTCCGGGGTCCTTCTTGTCGTTAGCAGAAGCTCTGCAGTCAGCACCAGCACAACGTGCCCCAGCGAAGTGTAGACCTCGCACATAACCAGAATAGCTATAAGACTGTGCACAAATGTCAGCAGCTACACACTTGCGGCGAAGGAGACAACTTGAGGCCGTAAACAAAAAAAAAAAAAAAAACATGAACAGCTTCGGATGTCTCAGGCTGACGTAAAATATCGTCACCATCAAACTTGAAGCTGAGGCACAGTCATCCTCGGACTCTAAGCTCATA